AGCTTTATGGCTTGCGGGGTAAGAAGTATTTGGGAAAGCTTGGAGAGTCCCAGCCTGTTTCTTCTTCCATTAGTCCCTGACCGCACCCTGGCCAGGAGTAATGAGAGAAGGGAAGTTTTAGTTCTGGGATAATACCTGAACCACCTCCTCCCTGTCAGGCATTGTGTTAAGCACTTTACATCCATTATCTGTTTTGTTCTCCCAACCACTTTGCAAAGTCAGGGTTATTATCCCTTATTTCAACACTGGAGGCTGGGGTCAGACAGGGCAGATGACTTACCCAATGATTTAGGACCTGTCAGTGAAGCCTTAAACAGTAGGCTCGGAGGTGCGCTCATGAGGGCTCTACTTGGGAGGCTCTCTGGGCTGTCTGTCACCTTTAAGGCCACACATAGTGACCCCTGCTCCTTAGTTCTGGAGGAGAGTGATGAGATACTGAGCAGAGTGGCAGAATGTGTCCTATGGCTCCTTGATCTGGGCACAGCTCAGCCTGCTTGCCTGGGCTGGGGGAGGGGGTGAGTCAGATTGAGTCAGCACACCTGGCTTGGGCGGAAGAAGGCTCAGTGCTGTAGGCAGGGCCAGGGCTTGCCTTGGAGTGGGATGTTTGGTGCCAAGGAGAGAAAAGAACATTGAACAGCAGGAGAAAAGGGTGACACACTCCATAGTGAACGAAAAGGGTTGCACATGTAAAGAAATGACCTGAGATTTGGTCTTGGCCTGGAAGTTGCTGGGAGACCTTGGGCCATGATTTTCTTTTTCTCAGCCAGTTTCTTCTATTTGTTTTTGCATTTAGGGCAGGAGAGATAAGGGGGAGCTAACTTCAGAGTACTAAATGAGATGTCCCACTAAGTGCTCCATAGTGCAGACCTGAGAATAGTGGAGCCACTCTGCCTCAGCCAGTACAGGCTGCCAGCACAGCCTCTCACCAGCGGGGTGGTGTGGGCCTGACTCTGACAGAGCATTGCCATATCAGGATCCCTGGACTGGTCCCTGCCCACCATGGGCCATGGGGATCTCCATAAGGGGAGAGATAGAGGAGGGGCAGGCTCTTCACCCCAAGAACATTCCATTCCATTTGTGCAGACCAGAGGGGATTCCAGCCAAGGACAAAGGCCCAAGGGAACCTCTCTGCTTTCCTCTAGAGCCCCATTCCTTAATATTGTGTCTTGTATGGGGTAGGGCACAATGCCCTTCTTAAAGGGGTAGATGTTGAAGCATTTGGGTGGGGCTGGGTGGCTGTGGGAAAGAGGCAATTAAAGCTCTTGGAATTATCCTTTCCAGCTCCTCCTAAATCTGAAGAGCCTCTATGGATCTGGACTCCTGGATTCTGCTCCTTCCCTGGATACCTCCTTCAAGAAGATTCTGAGAATTGGCCCTACCTGGCCTCAGCATCCTGTTTATGGAAGCACTGGCTTCACAGTGATTAGGGGCTGGTGTGTGGGGAACACGATCAATTTTTATGCCACATTTGACTGTTACACTGTACAACTGGAGATGTTACCACCGGGCTGAGATGCAATCAGAATAGTTAAGAGTGAGGGAAGCATTTCCATCGTGACAAAAGGATTTCTTTTAAAGAGGGTCAGCATTCTTAAGTACAGCTGGAGACCACATTTTGGTCGATATCAGTGCTTCCTAGCCTAATGGTGCCAGGAGGCCTGTGTGAGGGAATACACTAAGGAACACTCAGTTTCCCTCACCTACTGTCCTTGTTCTCCCCATGTTGGGTGTGCCTGTGGCCTCCCCACAGACAATCATGCGCTGCCTCCTCCGAGGGGGCACGTCTCTTTCTCAGGAAGAGATGTTGGCAACATAAAACTTCCAAGGAAAGTCTTAAATGCAAAAAGGAAACACATTTATTCAAGTATCCTGGTCAAGAGGGAAGGGGACGCATTTACTCCTCACACATAACCCAACACTTGTAGAACTCAGCAAAGTGAATGTATATTGACTCAGTCCCCTGACACATACATTCAGGAAGAATAAATTTCAGTAATGGAAGATGGAAGCATGTGGTTTTTAAGGTTCCCTTTGCGTGTGTTCTTGCCTTTTGTGTTTGTCCCAGGTCTTTCAGTTGACAGTTCCTTGAATAGCTCCTGTTTGGAAATTTGGGCTTGTCAACGTGTTTGGAGACGGAGTTCTCCCTTGACCTGACTCATAAGCTGGTCTTCCCAGGAAGTCCTCTGTTACAGGACATATAATGAACTTCTTGGATGGTAACCCATGTTTGAGGCTGTGACCCCAAGAGAGGTTTTTGTTCTTCATACTGGGGTTTGAGCCCAGGGCCTCACCCATGATAGGCAAGTGCCTTACTGCTGAACAGCCACCCTAACCCCCACCATTTGTGCTAAGGTAGCAGCATGACAGTGGGGGCTGTGACTCTAGAGACCTGCTTGTCCTTCGGGGTCTACCTAGGAGACAGGGAACACACCTACTGAGAGGAATCTTTGTAAGAGTCTATTTCCAAAGTATGGGCTTGGGCTTAAGAAACTGACAAATGGGCTGCGGGATAGCTCAGGGGTAGAACACTTGCTTAGTACACAGGAGGCCATGGGGTCCAGCACTTGGGGCTCCCAGGGTGAGAAGGCCTTTCAGTTCTTGGGCTTGGAGGGAGAGGTCAGCTGTGGAGAGGGCTGCTGCCAGGAACAGTCCTTCCTCTGGGGGATATGGTCAAGCTTCATAACCGGGTAGGTGAGCATAGGGAAGATAAATAGCTCCTCCTTGCAGTCTCATTGCCAAACGTGGTGGGAAGTTAGGGAGCGGGGAGCCATCCATATTCCCATAGATGTCAGTCTTCAGGGCACAGCCTGCAGAAGGCTGGAAAGTGCAGGGCAGCAGGCCATGCAGCTGTCCGGGAGGGCCTTTCCTTGGGGTCTACTGCACTGCTGCTTCCCCTCTGGGGTGGAAGGGTAGGTGAGGGATTTGAAGGGAGAGGACAGGGCTTTCTTCCCTCAGCTGTCCCCCAAGTTACTCTTGACTTCCACTTCCTGATTCCTGCCTGTCTTGGCATCTTGGGTGGCTGCAGGAATTGTTCACAAGAGGAACAAAGTCAGCCATTGAATCAGTTTTTCCCACACCCCAAACATCACACCACTCCCAGCCACACCCACAGGCATGCAGTTGCCACCACAGGCCCAAGACAGTCACCACAGGCCATGCCTAGTGTCACATATACGTGGAGAAAATGTACCTCTTAGTACATTACAATACTCTGTCAGTCATGTATAAAATGACAAATGTCACAGTGATGTCAAAAGTGCCCTGCCACACTATGTACAGTGTACTGTCACAGTCATGGAGGCAGGGTGTCATAAATTTCCTTGGTGCCTTTGGCCTCAGTTTTCTCATCTGTAAAGTGGAAATAATGGTCTCTGGAGTTTTGGCAAGGATGAATGAGAGAGAACAATTAGGAAGACTGGAGCACGGTGTGCGGCCTGGAGTAAAGCTTGTCAGATGGTAGCTGGGGCTGTGGACTCTTGTCCCCCCTTCCCTTCAAAACTCATGCACATGTGCACAGCAGCCGCCACAAGCACACACACACATGCACAGGGCCTAGCAGACACCCTCCCTCAGACACGCCTGCCAGGACACATGTATGTTCAGACCAGTTCCTCAGCCCGGAGCAATCCCCAGATGTCCACATTGCTTCCTTCCACTACCTTTAAAACTTCCTGCAGTCAGATGGCATCTTTCAATGAATTAGGTGTACTCTGCCTTTTCAAATTCGCAAACCCCAGGACTTCCTATCCTTTTGCTTGCTATATGTATTTTTATTCACTAGTGACATTATAAGGCCACCTGATTTATTTTGCATGCCCCAGTGGAATTTAATTTTTACAAGGGTAGGGCTGTTTTTTGTTGATGTATTCCCGATACCTAGTCTAGTGGCTGACACCCAGTGGGCTGTTGTGTACACACACACACACAATGGGTTTCCAGTTTCCCTGAGTCCTGCACCACTCCACCCTAATAAGCTGAGCCTACTGTGCTTACACCTCACACCTAGACTCAAATGACCAAACCAGGTGGAACAAACATCATCCGTTCCCAAGCCTCCAGCTGGGTTGGTACAGGTAGGGGAGTTTTTAATCACCACACAAGAAAAGTCATTCGAGTCACCCTTCCAGCTATGTAGAGCCCAGAAGCAGAAGGGATTTTGGTACCCGGCAGGAACGCACGGAGCAGATGAGGTGGCTGGACTCACCCTGATGACCGGAGACTTGCTCTGCGGCTTTGTCTTTCCCACCCTGGTAAGAACCATCAAAGTCACCACTTCAGAGGCCCCTAATGAGGTCCCTATATTAAGAGCTTTGCAATCGTTGGATCAAAGAGGCAGGGTAAACAGTGGTCAGCGTCTGGGCTGAGCTGATGCCCCGAGGGAATAGCTCCTGGAGGGCTTGTGTCTGGCACTCCCAGACAGCCTTGCTGGGCTCACTGAGACCTTGCTCCTTCAGGGAACCTGCTTACAATGAGCATACACATCAGAACTTGCAGGTCAAGAGGAAGCGAAAGGATCAGGGAGCAAGGCCCTACCTGGGCTCTGGCTCTGAGGGATCCTAGAAGTCTCCCCGTCTCAACTTGCATTACTGGTCTGAATTCACCCAGCTTGTTCCCCACCTCCTCCTTAGGGTGAGGTAGGTAGGGTGCACAGAGCTGGAATCAAATGGCCCTGGGATCTGGGAGGCTAGGTCTGGGGCTACTAGCATCTCAGGTAGGAAGCCTGGGGACATAGAAATATTTCCTCTTTAGTAAGAGTCCTAGATTTGCTGAGGCAACATGCAGGTGCATGTTGCAGGTGCAGGTCATACTGTAGACACGAGCTCTCAGTTGACAGCTGTCAGGCTGGGATGGTAGCAGGGAGGGAGGAGCTGTCTTGCAGCCATGCTCAGACCACAAGCCCCACCCACAGTCCACTTCCCCCAGACTCAGTCTGGGGAGACAGTGGCAGCCCCACAGCCATTGGGGGAGGTCTTTCTTACAGGAAAAAGCATGCTACTGGGCTCAGTGTAGGGAATCTTTATTGACAGGTGGTGAAGATAGCAAATTTAGAGCAAAGAAGGAAAAGGAGGTTGGGGCTAGGATTCCCCTTCCCCATGTGAAAGTCCTACAACCAAGCCAGTTAAGCAGGAGTACTGGACTTGACTGTGGAAGATTTGGACCCAGAACCCTCTGAAGGACACGCTCCCAGGCACCAGAGCCCCTCACACCTCAAGTGAAGGGAGAAACACACCAGGAGGATGTGGGCTGGATCTCACCCTGACTACTTGGCTCCTGTCCCTTGCAAACCTCCACCCTTCAAGAGGGAAGTTCCCCAGCTTGGGGTATGGGTTTCTAGGGAATTGGCTAAACCCATCCCTTCCCAAACTCGGGAGCTGCCTCATGCCTGTCTCCCTCCTCCTAGTGATCAGTCAGGTTTGGCCTCCATATTCTGCCAGTAGTCTAGCCAGACCCAAAGTGAGTATTCTCCATCACATTCTATATTTTAGCCAGTGCCTTGGGGGATGCTAGGATAACTGTGGGCTGTTGTAGTCAGAAAGACCCTTGCTAGGCCATGGAAGTCAACTGAAGGTATAGGACACTTCTGAGCTACCACCCAGGCTCAGATGGTCTCCTGAAGGCCATTCATCCTCCAGACGAGTAACCCCCATACCCTACAACTGTGCTGTTCTGAGTGTGGCACAATGACCAAAGGATCCTCCTGTCAAGAACTTGGCTTGACCTTCAACCACAAAAGCTTCACTCAGGGAAGTCTGATGTGTTCAGGTGAAGTCCCAACCCTGCAGCAGAGCTGGGCCAGCTGGCACAGGCTGCCTGTCTCTGGTCATATCCTCCACACCTTCCTAGTGACCCCTCCCCATGAGGCCCGGTCCCTTCTGGCCAGGGTCTGAGTCAGTTGCAGGGAAGCCAGGTGGGATAGGAGTGGGCCCGAGCCAGCAGAGGCTGCACAGGGGTCACATAGTAACTGACAGTGGCTGGCACAAGCCCATCGGTGCCTGCAGGGCACCAGGCTAGGGCAGCAGTGGCAGCAGGGCCCTGCTCGGCCAGTGCCTGGAGTGCCAGTGTGGCAATGAGGTCCAGCGTCTGGCGGCGCTCATGGTTCATGAGGCACACGGTGCTCTCGTTGACCACCCTATGCAGGGTCACCAGGCAGGCATACCGCCGGGTGCTATCGCCCTCGCCAAAGTGGGCCTCCAGGTAGCGCCCCAGAGTGCGCTTCTGCTCTGCCAGGTCGGGAAAGTCGATGAAGAAGCGGGAACACATGTACCGCTGCAGGGCACGCACGTCTGTGCTGGGCCGTGCCCGGAAGCCCCGCACTAGGAGGTGGCAGTACTTGAGGAGGCCACCACCTCGGATCTCCTCGGGGCTGCGCGTGGCGATGACACGGTGCTGCAGGTGCTCCAGGGCCTCGGCAAAGTCCCCATACAGGCTCTCACCTGTCACCGTTGGGTGGAAGGTCTCAGACATGGGTGTAGATGAGCACTGGCCAAAAAGCAGCAGAGAGTCCAGGATGATCTGGAAGGAGTCAACGCTGAACTCGAACTGGCGTCTCACTGAGGCCACAAACTTGAGCTCCACGTTCTTGCCACTCTTGTTGGATAGTGAGATGAGGCTCCAGCGGTCTGTGTCCGTGCACACTTTCACCAGCTTCTGCACATAAGCCTCCTTGAGTGTCAGTGGTGTGATCTTGGCCCGGCTCACACCAGCTGGCAGGAAGTCCAGCAGGCAGGCGAGCGCCACAGCCTTGGTGAGCTGGAAGCATGCTTCGCTGTGCAAGTCCACCTGGAACACCAGGTCCAGGTCCTTATAGCCCAGGCCACTCTCGGGGTGCAGCACATGGCTGGCAGCTGACCCGTGGAGTCGAACACTGTGTACCCGAAGTCCCTGCTCCTCAAGGTTGCTGCGGACTACCTGAGAAGGGAGGGCAGGAAGGAAGGGCATCAGAAGCCTGGGCTTTTATGGTATACTGCAGGCTTCGAGGTACCCATCAATACCACATCAACCACTGTGACATCAACCACTGTCAATTATTTCCCAACTGTTTTGCCTTGGAAAGTCATTTTTATTTCTAAGCCTTGATTTGCTAATCTTGGGAGTGGCCCATTAGAAAGAACAATCCAGAAAGAATAGAATAGCAATTATAAGCACAGAATTTATTAAACACTGGGCTCTGATGGACGAACTGTACAAATTAAGATATAAATTCAACTGGGCTTTGTAATCCCAGTATCCTGGGAGGCTGAGGCAGGAGGATCATGCATTTGAGCCCAGCAAGTTGGGGCAACTTATTGACTTAGTGAGGCCCTGTCTCAAAAATAAAATAAAAATGTTTGGAGATATAGCTCAGTGTAGAGGCCAAGGATTCAATCCCCAGTACCCCACTCCAAAAATCACAAAAACTCTGTGAAATAGTACTATTACTTTTCATAGGTGGGGAAACAGAAACAGGGATCAAGTAACTGCCAACAGCTGGGGAGATGGCATAAGCGCCTGCCTGGCAAGGGTGAGGACCAGGGTCAGTCCCCAGTACTGCATGTTACGCTGGCTACCAAAACCTGGCATGTGTAGTGGCATGTGCCTATAATCCCAGTGCTGGGGAGGCTGAGACAGGAGAATCACTATGAGTTTGAGCTGTGTAGTTAGACCCTGTACCAAATAAATAAATAAATGATTACAAAAAAAAATTTTTTTTAAAGAAGTAACTGCCAAAAAGTCTTGGAATATAGTTAGCAAGTTCACATGCACTACTGATTAACTTCATAGTGATCCTGCGCTTGAATACTGTTATTCTAGTTGACACATGAGGGACCGGAGGCACAGACAGGTTAAGAAACAGGTCCAAAGTTACAGGCAGACTCAGACTGGGACTAGGTTGGTTGGTTTCTCAAGTCCACGCATGTTCTTTTGACCATGACACACACCTTATAAGGACCCAGTGAGGCAAATGCTATAATTTGCAAACAAGGAAACTGAAGCTTAGAGTGATAGAACAGCTAAGGCTTGAAGGAGAAGCTCTAAAAAAATGGCAAGGTTGGGGGCCTGCCCCTTAGCTCAGTATATATATATATATATATATATATATAATCTGCTACTTATTTATTTTATTTTTTACACCTATTTATTGTGTGTGTGTGTGGCTAGCTCAGCCCACCAGGGGGCGAGGGTGGCTAGCATGTGATGCTGGGGGATCAAAGCGCGGCCCCTGTACTCTTGGCCCACTCCAAGTAGGTGCTTTAGACCACTGAGCCATCTCTCCAGCCCCTTAGCTCAGTTCTTTAAGTGGCTGCTTCAACAAAGCAGTCAGGCTCAGGTTGCTGTGGTTCAATCCTACAACTCAAGCCAGCCAAACCTTCCCTGAAGGCATTCGGAGCAAAAAAAAAAAAAAAAAAAAAAGGCAAGGCTAGAAGTTCATAAGAACGATCTTTCTTACATCTGGCAAAAGCGATGGACCAAGGCCTTAGAAAGACTTGGAAGCCAAGTAAGGACAGATGGAATCCTGTCTGAGAGGCCTGGGCTGATGATGGCATAGGAACAGCACAGGGCTTATATTTTTTATTTATTTATTTTTTTCAGAACCAGTGATTGAACTCAGGCCCTTGTGCTTGCCAGGCAAGCGCTTATTCTACTAAGCTATCTCCTGCCTCCCCCCCCCCTTTTTTTTTTTTTTTTTTGAGACAAGGTTTCACCATGTAGTTCAGGTAAGGATTGAACTCACAGTGATCCTCCTGCCCCAGTCTCCTGAGTGCTGGGTTACTGATATGCACCACTACACCTGCCTCTCTGTTCCTCTCGTCTTTCTCTCTGAAACTTGCAAGTCTTGAAAGTGGTCCTTCAGCTAGAGGCATCTCTCTGGCCCCATGGCACCAGGTAAGGAGAAGAATGAAGCTGGGGGTCAGACATTTGGTGTTCTTAGCAACCCAAACTACTTCACAAGCTGTCCTGAAAGTGACCAAGCAGCATTCTTGCCCCAAGTGACTCTGCAACCCCACCTTGCTGCCAAGTCAGCAGGTAGCTCTGGGTCAGGTTGTTCTGTCTCCCAGAGAATTACTGCAAAGAATGCACTGAAGTGCTGAGAAGGCAGCTGCAGTGGGGCAATCGGAGCCAGGTGGCTCCCTCCAGGAAGTCTTCCGGTAGGAATTGGCCTGGCAAGAGGGGTGAGCAACTGGCTACAAGGAACAAGTGAAGGAGGGGCATACAGTGGTTAGGTACCAGCTGAGTGCCAGACCCTGGACCTCACCAGAATCTATGGGATCGGGGTAGGGAGGGGTGGGGGGAATGGTGGGGGAGCTACACTATCCAGCGTATCTCCACCAGCACACACACACACACACACACACACACACACACACACCCAAAAAAATCAATAAAAGCATCAATTGAGGACAGATCTCTAGGATCTTCATTTTATAGATGGGGACACTGAGGGTCACAGGAGTGAAGTCACTTGCTTCACACAGGGGTGCCTTCAACCCCTCTTTTTCTGGTGGTGGTGGTGAGGGGGATCCTGGGGAAGGAATCTAAGGCTCTGTACATGCTAACCACCGCTCTACCACTGAGCTCTGTTGTAGGCCCAGCCTATACCTCTTTCTACCACTTTCATGCAGAACAAGCAGAGTAGAATCCAGTGTTCTAACCCTCCTTCCCCTTCAAAATGTCAAAGTGAGGAAGATCCTCCAATCACTCAACTCAGACCCAGGGGCACTGGGGATCAGGAGGCTAGGGGCTGGGTCCTTGGGCACACAGGGTCACTTGCTGCAGTCAGCCTTCGAGATTCCATGCGCACCCTTGCAGCTGTGCCTAGGTTGGCCAAGGAGAGAAGTGGCCCAAAAATGTGGAGCCCAGGACCCTGACAAACCTGCAGAACAGATCATCCCCTCCCCAAGTCCCATTAGAGCTTACTCAGTGCCAGTCGGCTCCCAGGCTGGTGCCCACCCCAGGGCATGGCATCTGGCCTGATGAGTAGGTAGCAGTACCCTCATTAAATCCCTGCGTCAGGGCCATGGGGCCAGCTGTGTCAGCCGGCCAGGGGTTGTTGTCTTCCTCAGATGTGACGACAGCCAGTTTGGCAGGCAGTCCCCAGATACTGCCACGCCCAAGGGCTTCAAGGCAGTTTGGATCCTCCTGAATCAGACTTTCCAGCCACGGAGGGGGGAGAGCCTGTGTCTCCTCTTTCTCAGGCCAAGGCCCTCCCCAGAGCTACTCTGCTCCAGGGCTGCTGTGGAGACCTGCGGAAGACTAATAGCTGCCACCAGCCAGTAGGTTTGCAAAACTCATAACCAGCGCTGCCCTCAGCTGGCCCTCTGGCTGCAGCTAGAGAAGTCAGACTGTCTAGATGAATTCTCAGGGCCCAGCGAAGGCAAAAGACTTGTCCAAGGTCACACAGCTAATACTTGGCTGAACTTAACTAGAACCAGGTCTTTCAGAGCTACAGGGCTGGCAGCAGGCATCAAGGTGGGGATGGGGTGTGCCTAAAAGGGGGTGGGTCCCTTCGGCCCAGGTATAAGTAAGGACACATAACTGAGATGCAGAGGAAAAGATGTTCCAATTCATTTTATTTTATTTTAGAGGAAGGGTTTCACTGTGCAGTTCACGCTGGCCTTGAGCTCACTTTGTAGCCCAGGTAGGTATCAAACTCATCCTCCTGCCTTAGCTTTCTGAGTGCTGGAATTACAGGCGTGTAAACATCCAGCTCATTTTGTTTGGTGAGACAGGGTCTCACTATGTACCCCAGGCTGGCCCCAAACTCATGCTGATCTTTTTGCCTCAGTTCCTCAGTGCTGGATTATAGGTGTGCACCACTATGACCCAGCTTCAATTCTGAATTTCTGCCCAGAGACAGACTTTCTTTACTGTGGAAGCAACTATATGGGCCAAGTGAATGCACCTGTTCCCTTTGAATGGGGAACCAGGAAGCTTTGTTGGCTTGCTTTGGGTACAGGCCTTTACCCTGAACTACATTCCCAGTTCCCTTTTTATTTTGAGACATGGTCTCACTAAATTTCTCAGGCTGGGCTCAAACGTGAGCTCTTCCTGTTTCAGCCTCCTTTATTTTCACGGCTGGGATACAGGCATGTTCCACCATATTGAGGAAAGGCAACTGACAAGAATCCAGGCACTGGGGCTGGGGAGATAGCTCAGCAGTCTAAGCACGTGCCTGGCAAGCTCAAGGACCATGAACCATGCCAGCCCAGAACCCTGGACGTGTGCTATATGTCTGTAATCCCAATGCTAGGGAGGCTGAGACAGGAGGATCACTACTATGCTGAGCTGCATAGCAAGACCCCATACTAAGTAATTTTAAAAAAAGAATCCAGGCACTGACCATAGATGTCCTTCCTCTCCACCCAGCTTTGAAGTCTCTACCACCCCACACTATAGCAGATAGCTCCCTATTTTGTGATATTTCCCATTCTAGTCTTGGAGGACTCTGTGGGTTTTTTCTTGTCTTTGAAGCAGGGTCTCATTGTGTATTTAGGCTGGCCTCGAACTCATTATGCAGCCAGGCTGGCTTCAAACTCCCAGCAATTCTCCTGCTCCAGCCTATCCAGTTGCTGGGATTATGGTTTTATGCCACATACCTGAAAGGAGGACTCTGTACCACTACAACATAGTAAAGTCAGCTCCTACCAGCTGCAGTCTCCCCAGCCTGGCTGGAAGCACTTGAAGGCTAAGAGGCTGGGTCCTAGTCATATCTGTGTTCTGGGGCCTGCCTTCATGGGGCTTAGCAACAAGCAGGGACTAATAAAGGCAATTGGTACACACCTCTCCCTGCAGAGGAAGCCTGCACACTGGATACCACCTTCTTGCCTCTCCCAACCTAAGACTGGGCCTAGGTCCTGGGGAGAAAAGCCTCCGCTGGTTTCTTAATTACCAAGATGCCAGCGGGCAGTGAAGAATGCCTGGGCAGTGAGGAACCCTTCAGTGAGTCCCACTGGTGCTGGGGGTGAGTCAGCCCCAGAGAATCTGCTGGCCCTCACACCCCACTCTGCCCCGCCCCTTTTGGTTCCTAGTTCCCTGGAAGGGAGGGGAGGCTAGCCCCCAGCAGGCATTCCTCCCCCTGGGCTGGAAGAACAGCCTGCTTCACCTAGCTTGTATGGAAAGACCGTGTGCTGGCAGAACACCCAGGAATTAGCACTGGATTTTCTGGTTTCTATCAGAGGACTCCCCTAAGACTTAGCTGTGAGTTTGGGAGTCACAGAAGGAGTCAGAAAACCTTGAACCTGCTGTTCTCTGCTTCTGGGAAGGCTCAAGATTTCCTGGTCCGATTTTCACCTTTATTAGGTAACTTTAGGTAGCTCACGGCCCTCCTGAGGCCTCCCTTTCCTCTGCTATAACATGGATATGATAATTACTGTCCTCTGCTATTTCACAACATGACAGTGCCTGAGTTATCCAGATGAAAGGGCAGCAAGGGCAGCTTTGGAGTCACGGGGGGGGGGGGGTGTCAGGTAAAAGGAAGAGTTGGGAGGAGGCAAGGCCTGCCAGGATTCTCTCCAGTCCCTCAAGACAGAGATGTGCTTGGGGGGAAAACCTGAGCTGGCCTTCATTTTCAATCTTGAAGTTTTTTGCTTCTTTTTTCCAATGGTGAGGATCAAACCTAGGGCCTTGAACATGCTAGGCAAGTGCTCTACCACTGAATCGCATTTCCAGTCCACTTCATTTCCAATCTTGGGGAAGGCTAGGTGTGGTGGTGCAAGCCTATAATCCTAGCACTCAGGAGACTGAGACAGGAGGATTGTGATGAGTTCAAGGCCAGCTTGTGCTATATAAGCAATTTTAAGGCCAGCCTGCACTACACAGTGAGACCCTGTCTCAAAAAGAAAGTGGGGGGGAGAGGACACCTGCACTGGATATTTAACATTGCCTTAAGGGTTGGGGCCTCAGCTCAGTCGCTTAATTAATCTCTTCCTGACATAACCCCAAATAAGGGAGGGGGTTTCTGCTGAGATTTCTGCACTTTTTCACCTAGCCAAGCGTTGTTGAGGCAAGGACTGTGGCAGAAAACGCCAGAGTGTCCCAACAACTTTGAGACAGGGACAGGGGAGGTGGTCCAGGGATGCTGGGTGGAAGAAAAGCTATTTTGGACCCATGTACACACTGCCCACAGGAAGGGTGCCTGACATCTATCGTCCTTGCAGCTCAGGAGATGGCTGCGAGTCCCTCCAAATTCTTTTCTCTCTAGGCCTGGGCCTGGGAGAGTAGCGGTGGAGCAGGGAGCCCAAAGAGGGCTCCTCAAGGCCAAGAGACACAAAAGTCAAGTAGGGAAGATGTCTGGTCTAGTGTTACTGTGCTATGCAGTTGTTACAGGCCCCGTTTCCATTCCTCAGTTTCCCCACCTGTCCAGCAAACTGAACAGACTCCAGCTGCCTTCCAGGCATTGGGATAGGTCCCCGCCGGCCCCTGCCGGCCACCCCCTCACCTGCACGATCTGTCGGGGCTGCACGCTCAGCGTGGGGAAGTTGCCGCGCCCATGGATGGGAATTGGCTCGCTCAGGAGCGCGTCCAGCCGCTTCACCTGTGGCCAGCTCAGCCTGCTCAGGTGCTGTTGAGGGGAGGCTGATGAGGCCTCCGGGTCGGGGCCGCCGCCAGCCGGTGCCGCCGTGGCCGCAGCTGTCCCCACCTGCGCAACCGCCCCGTCCAGGCGCTCAGCCCCGCTCTTCGACGGCATCATTCGCCCGGCCCCGGGGCCCCGACGGCAGAAACCGAGGGGGAGGGTGATGAGGGGGAGGAGGGCAGGAAGAGCAGCTGGGCCTAGGCTTGGGGCTGTGGGGGTGGGGACGCAGGAACAAGGCGGCTGCGGCGGCGACTATCTGACCCTACAGCCTGCTGTCCCCAGCCTCGCTGACTCTTATAGCGGCGGGCGATATGCCTATTGGTCCCAGCAGCTATCACACAACCGGAGCCTCCCCGCCTCTCGACTGCCTTGCTATTGGGCAGCAGAGTTTTGCACGTGCGTCACTGCTCTTCAGGAAGATTCCGATTGGCTGGAGGACACGCCCCCGCCCCGCCCTCCTTCCCATGCTGAAGTCCCTCCTTTGGCCTTTTAAGAACTTCTATTAATTGTGATTGGCCGCGGAGACCAGAATTTAAAGGGACGGCGCTGTCTAGTGTCTGGCGAGAGGGAAGAGATTAATAGGGTTTGTAGGGAGTCAGAACACTTAGGATTTATTTTCCGAATATGCGCTAGAAGAAACTGAGAAATCACCTGGCCTAATCCTCCTCATCCGCTATTTTCAGGAGCCCAAAGAGTGAGCCACTAGCTCAACTCCACATTATGCTCTTCCAAAAACTAGGAAAGGTAACTCAGTGGATAACGAGGTAGATGCCTCTACCTCTCTTGACAGGTCCTTGCAGACTACAGCGTGCCTGGCCTTCCCCTGCCAGTTTAAGGAGAAATCTGCTGAGAGAGGGGCTGATACTCCCCCAGTGTCGCAGGCTCTGACCGTGAATAGAATCTGGGCACATGTTTGACAATACAATAATGATTATATTCTTGATGGGGAGCTGGTACAAGTACACATCTTAATACTTTTTATATCCTTTCCTTCCCCTCTGCTACTTTTGAATTCATCTTTTTCTGATATTAAGTACATGTGCTGTAGCAAATGTTTAAAAATCAAAAATTGGCTTCTTGACTCAGTACTGTAATATATATAAGTACATATATATGTATTTAGTACAGGATCTACAGGGTCTCACTACGTAGATCGGACTTGTAGTAATCCTCCTGTTTTCAGCCTCCCAAGCACTGCGATTACAGGTAAATGCCACCAGGTCCAGTCTCAATCTTTGTCTCAGGGTGCCCCAGAGGTGGGGCTGGCATTGCATGCCGGGGTTCGAACACCAGCCACTGCACTCTGCCTAAGCAGGGACTTTAGTCTGCTGAGCTATCTAGCCAGCCCTAGTACTATAATATTTTTACTTAGATCATTCTCCTACTAGTATATCAAATTAAATATACTCCTGACATTCTCCCATCTTCCTGTACAGCAAGCTGAGAAGGCGGAATAGGTCACATTTACAAAAGGAAAAACCAAGACCTAGAAATACTCAAGTACATTCCAAGGTCACAAGCTGACCCTGACCTACTGAGGCCCTGTACCCAGAATGATGCTCTCCTCTCTGAGGCAGCTGGAGCAAGATGCTGCTGTTGTCCTCCATTCGAGTTTCTCATCACTAGATCTGAAGCCTTAGGGCTTCCCCTGGTCCTCAGAAAGAGAATCCACTGCTCTGGTCCTGTGACTCTGGGCACCTCCCACTGTCTCCAATGTCTTTGTTTTACCTTCTTTTGAAAGATAAGAAACAGATAAGAAATCCCCTTTGGTTTTCTCCAGAGTCTCCAGAACCTAGAGCTTCCCAGTCTTCCTCCCAGACTACTACTGAGACTGCTTCAGACTTGCCACAGCCCTGTCTCTCACCCCTGCCTCCTTGCCCCAGAAGAGGAGCAGGAGAAAGGAAACTGACATTTACTAGATGCTTACTACATCCAGGGTAACTTTATATACCTGACCTCTAATGCCTAAAAAAACTGATACCTCCAGATGGGGGGGGGGTCATTATTCCCTTAGAGAGGCCAACTGATATGCCCAAGGTCATGCAATCACTAATTGGCACTTGGGACTTGAATTTAAGTCTCCTGACTCCAGAGCTCTATTTTTCAACTGCTCTTCATTGAAGAATTGGCACAGATCAGGGTCATGTTTGCCACAGGGTCATGCTGGGCACCACCCATGAGATCTGTTTGTTCATTCTTTAGTCTATCTATCTATCTATCTATCTATCTATCTATCTATCTATCTAGTCTATGAGTGCCTACTACGTCCTGAGTGCTGGGTGGGCCTTGAGGCAGGCTATGCAAGGTCCTTGTCCTTCTACTTGTCCTTCTAGAACTTTTCAGTGTAGAAAGATAATAGTGAGGAAACAAATGCGACATTTCAGCTAGTTCTAGAGAGAAAATAAAATAGGATCCTGGGACCAAGAACCATTGTGTGTGCACACATAGGAGGTTGGGAGAAGACAGTGACAGCAAACTAAGAAATCTGCTGAGCCATCTTCCCAGCCCCAAAATTTCTCTAATATTTTGCACTTGTTATTTTCTTTTTTCTTTTTGGCAGAACTGAGGATTGAACTCTGGCCCTTGCACTTGCCAGGCAAGCGCTTATTCTACTGAGCCATCTCCCCGGCCCCTAAGAAATCAATGTATGTTGTTAGATGCTGTGCGCATGGAAGGCTTCCCAAATGAGATTATGAGCCCCTCCCCTTTTGTGGTACTAGGTATTGGACCCAGGGTCTCAGACATGCTAGGCAAGCACTCTACCACTGAGCTACATAGCATCCCCAGCTTGAGACAGGGTCTTGCTGAGTTCTCCAGGCTAGCTTTGAACCTGTGATGCTCTTAGCTCAGCCTCCCCAATAGCTGCGATTCCAGGCATGTGCCAACTCCTGCTGGCTCAAGCTCTGCCCTGTCTCATCACGCTTGTCCCTGGACAGCAAAGTCAGCAGAAAAGGTACCTGGTTTCACATTCCTAGAACTCTCAATGGCCCAGCTAGAAGAAATTTGAATAGTCATTTTGTTCACTCTCAGTTTTTCAATGGGGAAACTGTGGTACCAAAAGTAGGCAGGATTTACCAGGGGGACCAGCTAGGGCTGGAAACCCTGCAGGGGCAGGGCCTCCTGGGAGCTGGCTAGCGCTCTGCCTGTCCTATGCTCGTCACTAAGTCTTCTAAGGAAACTCTGAGATCTCTTTTCTTCACTCCTTTCTTCTGTCTGGGCTAGGAAGAGCAATTAGCAAATTCATGCACTGTGAATCACTCCTCTGTTGACACCTCCATTCCCAAAGCAAGCAGATGATTCCCTTATTTGCCCAGTGCAGATGAGACTGAGGTGGGAAGCTGGGAAGCAGAGAGTGAGCAAAGGCATATCCAGAATGATCCTGCATTCTCAACGAGCCCAGCTTTTCACTGTCTTTGTGAATGGAAGGGAATCTTGGCTGGGTATATCCTGAGAAAAAGTAGCTTCTTAGTGACTTTATACACAAGCCTCTCCCTGGAGTTCTGTACAAACCTCTCATCTTTTTTTTTTTTTTTTTTTTTTTTTTTTTTTTTTTTTGCGGAACCGGGGATTGAACTCAGGCCCTAGCCCTTGCCAGGGAAGCACTTATTCCACTGAGCCATTTCCCTGGCCCCTAAACCTCTCATCTTAATTACAAGCCCAACTGATTTTAAAAGATAATTTACACTGTATGACAACTGACTTGGGATATAGACAAGTCATTTTCCCTATCTAGACCTCTGTTTCTTATTCTATAAAATGGGAATGAATTAGGAATCAGGCTCTTCCATTCATATGATTGGAGGGGGCAAAAGAGGGAAGGGCCTGGGGAGAATGTTAGTCCCCTAACTGTCTCTGTCTCAGCTTTGAGACCCCAGACGAGAACATCTGGCAATTGCTGTGCAGGGACATTGTCACCTATATCATTTCCATTTTCGAGTGGAACCACGCCAGGTGATTTCCACAAGCTCATTCAATTTTCAGAACCTAATCTTCTGGCACAAGAGCAATCTCTCACTCTGCAGAATGGGAAACTCAGGCTTGAAGAAACTAAACCATTCACACAAGCCCCACAGCTGGGGAAAGACTTCACATCCAGGTCTGGCTGAATCCCAGGCCTGGGCCCCTTGCAGGACCCTGCCTCTGAGGACACCTTAAGGAGTTCACTTAGGCACAAATGATCCCCTTCAATGGAGCATCGCATTTCCTCCCACTGTTCATGCCCTCCACCCTACCTCATGTCATCAAGGCCAAGGTGATGAACCTGTTGCCATAACTACAAGTGTACCCTGACCCTTCATAATTTCAATATCCAGTATCCAGTCCTCCTAAAACTGCCTCCTGTGTTTTCTGCTCATGTTTTGTAGAGAACTTCAGCTCCAACAATTCTTGACCCACCAGGACCTCCAAGCCACTGTCCCTCTCTTCCTTTGGGTCCTGACTTTCCTCCTTAGTCAGCTTAGGGACCTGGACCATCACTGTAATTACTTCCTTGAATACACCCTCAACCCCCTTGCTCCCTGCTCATTAAATCGCATCTACCTGGCAAAGCCACACCCTGCCTAATCCCAAGAAGCTGACAAAGCTAGAGACAGACACAGCCCTGCTGACTGATCCCACTTTGACATCAGTCTGCCACCCTGGGGTGTGGGGAGCCTGGTGTTGTCTGCCAATTCCGCTGTCTTACCTGGTCTTTCCCTCTCCTACCGTCCTAGAGGTCAGGTCATCCCAGGGTCCCCTTAGTCCCAACAGCTCTTCCTGTGTGCATGCTCCTCTCAGCTGAGACATTGCCTCCCACCTCACCAAGGAAACAGAAGCGACTTTCAGAGTGTTGGCCCCTCCATACACCCTCCAATAGTTGCCCAGTTCAGTGTGCTGTTGTTCAGTGGCCATCTGCTGGGGATCAGATGGGCCTGCTCCTCCTTCAGCAGCTACTGGCTACTAGGCCTCATCCTGCTCACTCCAGAGATTTTTCCTCTTTCTCTGACTAGATCGTTCCAATCTGCACTGAAACATTATTCACTGCTGGGCATGGTGCTGCACTCCTGTAATCCCAGCACTCAGAAGGCTGAGGCAGGAAGACTGCTGCTAGCTTGGGGCCATCCTGGGCTACAAAGTGAGTTAAGACTACCCTGGACTGAATAGTCTAAAAAAAAAAAAAAAAAAAACAAAACCGTAAAATAAAACAAAACAAATCCCAAAACCAAACTAAAACAAAATACCAATAAAAATACCCTCTCCCCCCAAACAAAAAAACCCTATAAAACC